TTTTGACTACTTAACAATAATTATAATAGTTCAAAACTAAGCTGCTTTTTTCAACAAAATTAAAATATTCCTGACAAGGTGAATTTGGTATCCTATTGACCGGTTTAGTGCAACAGGTTGAGGGCCCCACCATTCCACATTCATTTATTTAAAACTGTTCTTTCTTGGTTTCACAAAGTTCTTCCTTACACCTCTTTTCAGTCTTCAGATATGTTCAGTATGTTTTGGAGCTTATTTTGACAAAGACTGCATCTTCTGTCAAGAAGTCTTTAGATACTCTAGTGAGCACTATCCTGCAGTGTGCAAACCAGTGAGCAACCTCACCCCCCACAAACTTCCATGATGCCAGGATAACGTGGGGAGAGTATCAGGAAATAAGAATATTTAGACGTTGCCTCCACAAGTAATGTGTAGCCTACATAATTAACTTGTAAACCACCCAGAGAGTGCTTGAAGCACTAAGGGTGGTATATAAGCAGCATGCTTTGCTTTGCTTTTTTTTACAAGTATTATTCAAGCCCGTTGATTTAGGTAGTTTGCTGCTATAATGTACTTCAGAGGTTGCCATTCAGCCTCTGCTTCAAAAGCTCTGACAAAGGAGAAACTGCAATCTTCCAAAGAAATCCGTAATTCACTATTTTCTTGTTTAACAGCTTATGCAGTCATGATTTTCTACATAATGCCTAATTGAAATTCTCCTTCCAATTTGAATAATTTCGTTCAGGTTCTACCTTTCGATGGACCAAAGGACAAAATGTTTTCATTTGTATATCTGAAGATGGTTGTTTTATTGCCTTTTAATCAGCTCTTCTCTGACTCTTTCAACCATTCCATACAGGACAAGGTTTCCAAACCCCCATATTTTTGTTGCTGTGCTCTATGCATCTTGCATTTGTCAATATTAATTTTCAGCAGTGGTTAAGTACTTCTTAAAGTCAATAGATTTTGTCCTTGAAAGCAGATACAATGAAAACAAAGCCAATTTGTAAACTGAACCTAGCCTAAGTTAAAGTGTAGGTAGGATTGACTGTTTGTCCTATTAAGATGTAACACACAAACGTTTGTACAGTTCTATATTAATACTGCCTATTTGTGGTTTAAATGCAGATTTATTCAGAACAATACCGTTATGTTTTTTAAAATATATATATAGATGTGAAGAGGAAGGAAAAACAAATTATTAGACTAGAATAGTTCCCTGCTACCTACACAGTTCAATGTTTTAAAAATCAAATGTGTATTATTATCTGAACCACATTAAAGCTTTGGTATGAAAATGAATTGAAATTCAAAAGAAGAGCACTGCAGATACGTTCACTGATTATTTGATATGCTTTTTTCCTTAAGATAGTTTTTATCAAAATATGGCTTCAAATTATGAATTGCAAATTAGATATTATATATTTATCCAAAATTTAAATTCTGTAATTTATTTTAAAAGCATGGGAGAATACAGTACCTGAATGTCATAAAATGTCACTACATTGTGAATAATTTCTGTGGCTTTAATGACATACAGAAAGCTTTATTATTATTAAAGAGTTTTAGCATGAACTCTTAATTAGTTATTTTTAAAGACTTATATTACTGATTTCCTTGTGCATCATATGTGAGCAATGGTCAAACTGTAAGGTGATGAAACAGTCAATTTGTCCTTGTAAAGTTCATATTCAGTGCATTATTTGACTATGACCAAGAAACTGAGTTGACTTGCATATGCTTTCTTGATTGGGGTATGGTAAAATATACATATAGTGTACTTTGCCTTAAATAGTTTTTTCATTTTCTGTTCTGCTTCTGTTATAATCAATGACTGAATTCCAGTAATGAGTTGCAGCTAGAGTAGGCCCACTGAATCAACAGAACTTAGAGTAGACTTATCAAATCTCCACTGATTCAGTGGACCTACTTTAGCTGCAATGTGCAACTGGATTTCAGTGTGCCAATTTTGAATAATCCCCTTTGAGTTACATCACCCAGAAGGTTAATTGGTTAAAAAAAATAAGAGCCTAGTTTTAAAAGAGCAAAACAGAAACCTCTACCAATTCTTCTGGAATGAATTTATAGCCCTCTTCTACCCTTCCAGCCAAAGACCATTCCAAATGCTATATGTGGAATTTGTCTGAAGGGTAAGGAGTCCAACAAGAAAGGGAAGCCTGAAGCACTTATACACTGCTCCCAGTGTGATAACAGTGGTAAGTAACAGAATCTGCTTTAAGTGTCTATACATATTTGAGGTGATGATCAACTAGGGAAAAATATCTGGAATGCTAAATCAAATTAACTTTTCTGCATTTGTTTATAAAAAAACTCTGAATTGCTGAAATTAAGAAATATTTGTAAATAAATCTAGTCATTCTTGTTAAAGATATCTCATTTGACCATTGTAGTAATGATATTGGTTTTGATTTAGGCCACCCTTCCTGTCTGGATATGTCTGCAGAGCTTGTTGCAATAATTAAGACCTACCCTTGGCAATGTATGGAGTGTAAAACATGCATTATATGCGGGCAGCCTCATCATGAGGAGGAGATGATGTTCTGTGACGTGTGTGACCGTGGCTATCATACATTTTGTGTGGGGCTTGGTGCTATCCCCTCAGGTAATTATCCTCTTATTCAGAGACTGATAAATAAAATGAAACGTAATCTTGCTTCCCTCATTTTTTTGGAAAAACGTTCACATCTGGAAACTAAACAGAACAAGCATCTTGCCTGTCACATTTATTTCAGTGAAAACTTGTTTTTAAAAACATTTAATTAGTCATTTTTTTCTCTACAAAAGCTCCTTACAATTATGACAGTCTTATCATTAAAATACTAAGATAAAACTGTTTTCTTTTCAAAACTTAGCTCTGTAAAATTAGAAGGAAAAGTCTAATATGAACATCCATGTAAATAACTTTTATAATAATACAAAACCCATTTACAAAAAAAACCCCACTGTAGTACTGCAAAGACTGACGTTTTATTTGGTGTAAGCCTCAGATGCATCTGCATATGGCAAGACTTCATTAAGCCTTATGCCCAATAAAAATTGTTAATCTTTAAGGTGACACAGGACTTTAGAATTCTTGCAGACTGCAACAATTTAACATGGCTATTTCCTTGGACATTTTTAAAATCAGTATATGAAAGCCAAAACGTGTAAGTGAACAACTCTATTCAGATCTTAAAGCATCTAGCCCCACCCCCTCTGTTGTTGCTTTTCTTGTGTGAGCAATGGCACACATAAGAAGAGGAAAGTTTCCTGTTCAAGTGTATATATCAGCAAGAACCCTAGATAACATGGATTCATGCTTGTTTGCTATGTGAGAGCAGGATCATTGTCTAGTTATTTGTTATTGTATGAGCAGAGCAACAACAAAAGGGGTAGGGTTAGATGTTCCTCTCTAAATGTGTTCATGAAACCAGAGGACTGAATATAGTGCTAGCATATAAAATGCCAAGAAAGCAGAATGTCTAACATGATCAGTTAAATTTTCTAGCAGTAACCTGACTCCTGGCTAGAAATATTAGTTGATTATGCAGTGCAGCTGTTCAGTTAAACTGACCTCTTCTCCTTTCATTGCATCCAATGCTCACTGTTTAATTTTAAGAAAAAAAATAAATATGAATCTTATAAGAATAAATCACACAAGTTATTGAACTTTATAGCTGCTGGGGTTTTTGGATTTTCTGGACTACAGATACAATTTTCTATTCTGGGAAATTCATCTTACAAAACAAGTGTGAGGCACCTGGGAGGAAGGCCTAAATCGGAAGGTTATGAGGCTTTCTGTTCTTGCCCCAGTGCTAACTGGATGTGTTCTTTCTAGGCAGAAAGCATGGGCACAGCTATACCTAGCTAAGCCTCAGCTTACCAGTTTAGGCTTTTCCCCTATGTACATCACATTTAGGTTTTGATAGCTTTTGAACTGGTAGCCATGTTAGCCTCTGCAAGCCTATCAGACAGTTAAACATTGTTAACTTAAAAAAAATTAAAAGACAAAAACATTGTGGCACCTTAAAGCAGTTAGTCTTTAAGGTGTCACAATGTTTTTGTCTCTTTTTGTCTGATAGGTTTTGTTAGGTGTTTGTAAGGTAGGTAGAACTCCCATAATAGAGAATTATATTTGTAGTAGAGAATATCTGATAATCTTATCCCTAGGGTTTAACAAACAGATGCAGTTAGAGCAATTTAATTTTAATAACAGAGACTATTATTTATATCATGCAGTAATATAATGGCCAGTATCTTGCTGAGTCGCTCCACTAGAATGGATATTATGTCACCAGTAGCAGCAGAATGCTGCTCAGAATCCCTGCTTTGATTTCAGGTTGCATGTGATTCAAGCACAACCTAGAATCAAAACAAGGATTCTTAAATTAACAGCACTCTGCTGCTGCCAGCGATATTATGACTGCTATACAAGTTATACAATAGAATTTTGGCAAACACAGTTATTATACTAACCTATACATTTGTTCCATTGGATCGAAATATAGGTGACCCTGATATTGTTGGGAGGTATTCACCAATCTCTGCCTAAATTTAGCTAAAAGGAAACAATTGCCACAATGCTGCTTCTATTTGCAAAATTACTTATGAAAACTATAGTAGATCTTCCTGAGAATGACTGGCCTAAGGTCACCCAGTTTCACAGCTCAATGAAGAGTAGAACTTAACTCTCAAAACGCAGTACAGCATTTTAACCACTGCACTGAGCTATCTGTATACATTTTTTCCTCACCTATAGTACAGTACTTGCAGCAGTAATCTTATACTCCTTAAAGTTTTGTCCAATTTTAACTGACAGCTCTGATTTTATAGGTCGCTGGATTTGTGATTGTTGTGAAAGACAACCTCCAGTCCCAAGGGGCAGAGGAAGAAGAGGGAAGAACAGCAAAGAAGGATAAAACAAACATTTACATTCATGATCAGACTGCACAGTAACAAGTGCTGAACTTGGTGCTATCTTATCTACCATCCTGTGTAAGGAAAACACCACTCAAAATATATTTCACCAAATAAATTTTTTAATTTTAGTATGGTGGGGAAGATTATTGGGTACATTCTGTTCACAGCTTTCCTTCTAATTGGTAGTCCCATGCAGAGGATTATATTCTGTCCTTATTCTTTAGGCATGTAATTGTCCAATCAATTCAAGGCTACATAGCAGTCACTTCTATGAGGAAAACGCTGCACAGATTTATTGCATAGCAATCATTTGGATTCTCTGTCCCACTCAAAGGAAAGGACTATTATTCTGAACACTTCACAAGAAATATATTTTATGAACTTGGCAAACATATATATTTGAATTAAATTAAAATAAGAAATGGTCTAGAAAGCCTCCAGCCCAATTTCCTTTTCTTAATAATACCAATCATATTTCAGCTACAAGAAAAGGGGCAATTAGATCTTTGTCAACTCCAGTGAACTAAGACGACTGTTATATTTTGGGACAATATTTCAAAAGGTACTACCAGAAGGGGAGTTCTAAATTTAGAAGGATACTGCAAATAATAACTACCTTGGATGATTGTCTTTTTACAGAATAATGGACTAAACTGAGAATTTTAAGTACCTGGTTGAATATGCTTCCAATACTCTTGTTTTCTACTCCTTAAACTTTTCTAATAGTTCCACATTAGAAATAATGTGAAGTGTACTCTTCAGAATTTACGATGGAAACTTACTGTTTGTCCTGTGCACAAATATAGATGCAGACTGAAAACGTGCCATTGTGAATTCCTGCTGCAGTAGCAGTGAAGGAATGTAACTCACCTTTCTTTTCAACAAATTGTGATACACAGCAATATTTGTTAAAGGCTTTAACATCTCACAAGGATTATTTGCTTTTGAAAATGGAACCTGCTGTTACTCTATCTGAAAGTAATGCAGAATTTATAATTTAAATGTAGTAGTGATGCAGCTTTATAGTCCTAAAATTCTCATAAAAATTATATAGGATTTACATTTTATTTTACGTCATAGTGAACTATAACATTCATCTATGACCCTGATTGGAGAAAACTACAAATACTATACATGCTACAGTGTAGCTATGCAAAATCATTTCAATACAAAATTAGTTATGGCTTTTTTTTCTTCCCCCACATCATAGAACACTAATATTAATTTTCATCAGATAGCCTGAATTCAGTTTTACAGTTTGCATTCAAAAGACCATGTAAACCGCATATACATCTAAAAGAGTATTTCAAGTATTAATTTTAGTATTCCAATCAATATAGTCCAAAAGACTGATTCTTCATCCCGAGACTCATCTTCTGTTGACTGAAGATGCTTTCGGCTTATTTCCATGTCTTCCGGATTATATGAGCCACCGCCAAATGGAGATTCCACAACTGTTTGATCATAGAACACTTTTATTTCAAATTCACTTTCCAGATGAGAGGGATGGCCATAAATCCCTATTCCCACTGGGCGGTGAAAGTGTGCAGGCACATGAACCATATCCTGGCCACATGTTACAGATTGTAATTCATAATCATCAAAACTGGGGTGAAGGGTCACATCAGATACATACAAGTCTGCATCACCTTTTAAACTCTGCATTTGAAGGACTATTTTCCCTTCATGGTTTAGCCTCAGGTAGCTATAGTTTCCAGCACCAATCTGGCCATGAACCACATGGAGAAGAAGCCATTCTTCAGGTACATCATCATCATCATTGTAAGCACTTGCTATCAGAAATCCATGAAAAGCAAACAGTATTGCTAGCATCCTCTTGCAATAAGTAGCCATTATACCTGTGATGGAAACAGAATGAACTTACATCACACTATATATATATATATACTGTCAATAAGTTCCAGGCTCCCACAAAAATAGAAAAACTGGCAGAAAGGCAAGCCACACTATTATTCAAATAACTATACAGTACTAACTTTTCCAAATGTACGTACAGGTGAAAATCTATGGTATACTTCACAAAGGGAAAAAATATTCAAAGCTACAAGGCATGCAGAAAATCCACATGGTGCAGTTTGATCTTAAGGTATCTAATTATAGGTTTTGTAAATATGAAACCAGTGAAAGCTTTCAGTATAATGTAGTATAATGCGAAAACATGTTCCTGGAAAGCAACACAATGTTCTTTTATTTAGGAATTATCCAACGTGTATTTATGCAGGAATATATAGATATGATTCTCTAAGGGACCCTACACAGAATTTCCCAAAACCCGCAAACCCTATGTTTTCACAAGTACAAACATAACACTGTATGTGTATATACTTACAATGACAATAAATTATTATTACCTGTATTATAACTGACCCTATACTAAAAGAACAATCATGTTTAACGCTTGTCAGGACTAGGCAAGTATCAGTTACAAGGCTAATCCCCACTTCACTCGAACAAAAAAATTCATCTAAATACAAACAAGGAAAATCAGGATAGCTGAACGGATCCCTTGAAAAACAAAACACCAAAAGCTACAGATTCAACAAGGGGTTCTGACTACGGAATTGCCACTGAATCAGTGGGGCTTCATAGATATACAGTATGAGCTCCTCATTCAGCAATGCTCTAACTAGGACTAGCAATAAGATTTAGGTTCAACGATGTACAGAAAAATCGCAAACGTTTACTAGACGTTGGCCACACCAACGCTGTGTGGTTGTGTGGACCACAGTCGGCGTTGGAATGGGGGCGGGTGCTCGCTCGCTCGCTCGCTCTCTCTCTGTGTGTGTGTGTGTGTGAGAGAGAGAGAGAGAGAGACATCCAGTACTGAAAGGTCTATCGAGCTGTTCCCACCTCACCTGTGTAGTACAGACGGGGGTCTAACGCAGAAGCGGAGCAACTTCCAAAGGAGGCATGTGGAGCAACAAGGGACGGCAGAGGGGCGAAAAGGTGTGGGGAAGGGGGAGAGAGAAAGCGAACGCTAAAATAAAGTGGAGAACAGGGAGGGAGGCATAGACTTCATGAGGGGGCTTCAACGGCCGCTTCGCCGTCCTGCTTTCCCCGCCCCCTCCCATGCCAACGCCGACTCTTGCCTGTCAGCCGGGAGAGATGAGCGGGGGGCGGGGCAAAGGCGAAGCCGAATGGCAACTTACCTGCGCCTCTCTGGCCGGGAGACTCCCCATATTCCGACAGCCCGGAGCGGCCCACCACAGGGTCCCAAGACTGTATACGCACTTCGTTCCAACCCCCCCGCCCAACAGCTGAGAGGGCCTGCAGCGCGAACCCGCCCCCGCCCCCCGTGCGAGCCCAAGCTCACCTCAGCGCCAAACCGTTTCGCTCGCCCTTCGCACACCATGGAGGAAGCCCCCTGAGCCTCGGAGAGAGCGAACGCCCATATACGGCGGCTCCCGCTCGCCACGGCGAAGCTCGGTGCCAGTATCGCGAGACTTCGTGGGCCCAGCTGAGAGTCGTTTTGCTTCGTCGAGGCTGGGAAGGGAAACGGAACCCGAAGTCCCCTAATAATTTTGGCCCGTTCGGTCACCGTAGCAACTGGATTCAAACAAAACGACCGCCCTCGTGCTTGGCAAAATATAAAACGATGGCATGTGACACTGGTACAAACCTCACGACAGTGGTGGTGTGGTCCCCAAAAGCTAGTGTATTGTATGATTATTTTTAAATGGTCTATAAAGGTATCACCAATTTTTGCATTTATATTTTATTTTGTTTGGCTACTCTATTTCAATGGAATTACGAGGTAACCAAGAAGTAGCCACCCACCAAGAGGACGCATGGACTCTCAACATCAGCAGAGCAAGACTACAAACACCATAATTTTGGCTTTAACCTGACTCCCCCCCCCCCATTGGGTAAACCTAGTGAGTTTATTAAATTATCAGTTTACTAAATTATCAAATTCTGAGATGGGGGATTTGGGTTTTCATTATCACCCCACCCCCACCAATCCGCAGCTGCCTCAGCAATAGCCATAAAACAACAACCTTACAACCTCCTGATGTGCCTGACAAATTCAGTCTTGCCAAAAACTTTTGGACTTTACATCGAAAAATGACTTTCCTGGCAAAATCCATCTTGCCATGAATTTTGGACTTTTAAGTTCTCCACACTGGTACAAACTAGAGATGGGGGTATTTGTATACAAATTGGACTTAAATACAGCTGGACTTAACGAGGGGCCAGCCTGTCCACTCATGCATCGGGCGGCGGTGGCAGCCTCGCTCATCCTTCGAATTGCTCCCAGAGCTCCACTCTTCCTGCTCAGCTAGCAACTCAGCAGCCGTGCAGGGAAACTTGTCCTCCCTTCCAGCTGCCTGGAGTGGCCAGGTGAGCAGGAAGAAAGCAGAGCTCTGGGAGCAATTGGGAGGATGAGCAAGGCTGCCGCCACCACTGCCTGACGTGTAAGTGGATGGGCTGGCCGCCGTGGCCGGCCCCATGTTAAGTCCAGCTGCATGAGGATATTAGTACTGTATACAAATATGAATACTGTACTCCCATCTCTAGTACAAACCTGATGAAATGGTGTTTTGATCCATGAAATCTCATGTATTGTATGATCATTTTTTAGTGGTTTATAAAGGTATCGCCTATGTTTACATTTGTATTTTATTTTGTTTGGGTCACACAGCTACCCTTTATTTCAGTGACATGAGACACTTGTTGCAGGAAGCTGATCCAGGCAACAAAAAAGCTGTGTGGTGCTTGTTCACAACCCTATTCTGAAACTAGCACCCACCTTTGTATTAGGTTTCCAAACAGCTTTTGCTTGACATATACAAGTACTCCTGGCTCCCTATCTTGATTCTGAGTTTCATCTGAGAGATAAGTTATCAGGCTGCTGGAAGCAGCCTTCAAAGAGCCAGGGGAATCTGTCTGATTTTCTTGTCCAGATCTGTTGCTTTGAACCTTGACAACTTAAACAGAGATGGGATATTCGTATTTGTCTTCGAATATCAACACCACAGGTGCCTGAGCCTTTTATTCCCTTCCCCAGAACCGTCTGACTCACTCACCGCTCACTATACGTCGTGCACAGCCATCTTTCATGTTGTGCCAATTGCAGAAGTTGCCCAGCCAGTGCTTCCCTGCCTCCCTTCACAGCCAACCACTCTGGTGGGGAGCGGGATGATGAGTCTCGCCGCTCAGCTGCTGAGTGGTCAGTAAATCGGGGAGGCGGGAAACCGCCAGCTGGGCTACTTCCATAATTGGTACAACACAAATGAGAATGGCTGTGCCGCTGTACGGCGAGCGGTAAGTGGACCAGCAGTTCGGGGGGGGGGGAGTCCAAATGGCCCGGGTGCCTGTAGTGCCAATATTTGTATTCATCTCCTGGGAAAACGAATACCCCATGTCTAAACTTAAAGCATGAGCTTGGAAACATTTGTACCAAGCATTGCTAAGTATAGTTCTTAATATCTTGCTTTCCATGGCAACCGTCAATCTAATGTAGTGCAGCTGATCCAACTGTATTTAGAGGAAAATTCCCTGATTGCAGTGGGAGTTTTTCTATAGTAATTATGCACAAGTGTGCAGTTTCTTAAGAAACACTATATGAGGGCTCATATACACATACACACACCACTTATGAAATGCACATTACATTGACATCAGAAACATTATTTGTTTGTTATGTTTTTAATATTTTTACAGACTCACATACATTTCTTTGAAAAATGGGTTACAGCATTGGCATTGCGGGAATTATTCCATGAAAATAATATAATCTCTTCATAAATATAATGGTAACCAATCATGTTTTCCTTTAAATATTGCTTTTAATGTTACATACTTAGTTTTCTCAGTAATGCTTTTTCCACACACAAACACAATAATAATACAAAAATCACCATCTCCTTATCATGACAAACATTTCCAATGTTACTGTGTAATTCTGTCAGGTATTAACTGTGGCTGAGACAAATGCTGTTTATTAAAGAGAAAATGAGTATACAAACAATCCTAAGCATCAATGCTACTAAAGTTCAAGTGGAAATGAAAGTATTCTGACCCCAAGAGTTCTTCTCTGCCACTGTGTAGTGGTAACCATTCTCAGTGGAAAGCTTGTACTGTGGTCTTCAATAACCTGTCCATCACCTGACTGATTTCTATCAGTTATCCAAACTGCAGCATTCAGAAGGGAAGCCACTCAAGACGCCTCCACTTAAAGTCTTGCAGCCACTGGTTTCCTTACAGATATCCTAGATTCTAAAAGATGAAAACACAGAGCACAATAATTCTGAGCCATGGATACTGAAAGAGAGCACTTTAAATTCTCTTGGAAAACTTTTATAGATACCTCTCTACTTCATATTATGTGCTGCACTCATTGGTTCTGGCAGATTCCAACCTTCTCGAAAGGGCTCCGCATGCACAAGCCCCCGTGGTCAGATCAGAAGAGAAACACTTCATGACAATGGTCTGCATAAACTGTGTCCTATCCATTTAGGGATGACAATGGGGAGCACCATGTTATCCTGGCCTCAACATACGTTGACTGCTGTTTCTAGTAAGACACTTTTTAACCCATACCTGACCAACCTTGGAGATAAATTAAATCTTTATCAGCATTTTGTATAAAATGTAATATGGAATTCCCTTGGTGGTTTGTGGGAAACAAGAAAAGGCTGAATCACTCAGATTGACAGTGACCCAAGAGTGAAAGTCATGTGACTCTGCTGCACATGTGCAGAGTTCAATTTGCTCTGTCATGATTGCATCAGACTACACTAAGCAGACTACAGTTGGAATCATTAGCATGTTACTTTGTCAGTTGGAATCATGGACTTTGCTAGCACTGAGGTGCTATGTATTTGTAAATACACTCTCGGTGAAGGGAACGTCTCTGTCCAGAGAACGTCTCTGTCCAGAGTCTTTATTTTTGCTCTCGGTTTGGAGATTACTGAAGAATCTCAGACAACATAAACAATACTGCTGTGTATTAATCTCAATAATCTTCAAATTTATTCAACAGCCTGGACAACAACTAAAAGTGCTTAACCAAAGAAGCAGCAGCTTGAAGACATACTGGGGAAAAGGAATGGTGGGATGAGTCAATGAGAGGACCAATCTTTGAATAAGAAAAATGCCTGAAGATAAGACAAGGCTAGAAGGAGATTTAACAGGAAAAACAATCAAATCTGTGTCAGGCTTGATTAGTTGCTTTCAGATGCATACAAGATAGTTACAGTGAAAAAATAGGGCAATATAACAATGGAATGCCCAAATGGACAGGAATGCAGATACAGTATTGCTATTGACTGGTTTGGGAACAAAAATGTCTACTTGTTTATTGGAATAAAATGCTTAAAGATTTAAGTGTGTGTGTGTGTGGGGGGGAATAAGCCCAGAGGCTTTGAATGTCATTTTTCAGATTTGCCACCATCCCTAGGGCTGCACTACTCAACAGACATGGCTGGGAGAGGCTGTTGGGTAAGTTAGTATTGAATAGGCTGGAGGGATTAATTTACTCTAATGTTTCAATATTTAATGTAATATTTGTAAGGTTTTAATAATGCTTTTCATTTAATCAAGGACTTCATTAAGGTTTTATTCAGCCTTTTATCAAGGATTTTATTAAAGCTTTATTAAGGTTAACTGTAGCTTCCTTGTTGTTGATACAACTCTGGAATGATCCTGTGTGTTATTTCTGCAGTTTTTTTTAAAAAAAATCAGTCTACCTCAATCTAATTATTAAAGAGAGCTTACCACTTTTATTTTTGTCTAAAACACTTGTGCTTTGTCTTAATAATCTTGAGCAAACAAGGAAATCAAAGAATAGGCATTTTGGACAAAAATGGAAGTCCTCTGCTCTCCATGACAACTGAACAAATTAAACTAGCACTAGTTAAAGATTTTAAAAGACATGAAAGTGACTTGGAAGCCATTAGTATGAACAGTGGAGAATCTGCAATTTGTCATAGTAATCTGTTGCTTTTAAAAAAAATTGGAGGGCCACCAAAAATGAATTGGAGCTCTATATTTTGCATATTTTGGTTTAGAAGAAGCAGGACTGGTGACATGTACTAGAGTGCACAAAAATGAGACATTTTTTAAAACCCTTATAATACACAGCAACTGACATCTTAAATATGAATTTATTTTCTGTATCAGCCAAAGTTTTTCTGTATGTTTTTGTAAAAAAATTGAAAACAAAACATGAACAGAGTTACAACAGCCAAGGTAGAATACAAGGTGGTAAAAGTAAAGGAGCTCTACTCAGGATGAAGCAAATATGAATTAAAGAAATATAGTTAGCTATATAGTAAGATCATGTATTTACTATACGGAAACTGACCAATGCAAATAAAGACTGTGTCTCAGGGTGGATTTGATATATATAAAATTGATTTACAATTTAAACCACAATTTAAATTTAAAAAAATCTGATTTTTTATGATTTAAATAAAAATGTATTTGATTTAAATCAATTTAGTTTTTTTAAAAACATTGATTTCTATCCACCCTGCTGTATCCCTAGAAAAATAAGATTTCAGAGTACTTTCATACACTAATAAGGAGACTTACCAAACATTCCTGAAGTTTTGCTCAGAGCCTCTTTAATTACACTGTAAGTGAATCCACCATTCCTGGGGAGAAAAGAACAAGAACTAAACCTGCAAACTTCCAGTACTTTAATTTAAAAAACATGAAGTGAGGAATACAATTCTGAATATGTGAACTGAATATATGAACTATAGTAACTTCTCTTTTTTTGCCATCAGTTTTAACTGACAGTATGCGGCCTGAAAATGACAAGTGGTCCACTGTCTTTCAGAAGTAAGCAACAGTTACTATAGCTATCATTCCCTCTTTTTTAAAAAACAAAAGAATAAAAACGTTTTCCTGCCATTCTCCACAGTTGAAATTTACTGAAACCAAAGGAACACTGCCAGCTCTTTCTCATGCTAGTGTCCTCAATGATATTTTTCAAGGTTTATATAAGAATTTTCATTATTTCTAAGAGGAATGGCTTCCCAGAATGTCTTATATAAACCATCAAGAATATCACAGGACAATGGTCTTAAAAACAAAAAAGAGCTGCCAGTGCTCTTTTGGTTTTGTAAGGCTCGACCGTTTAGGGCCTTGCTGCTTCTGATGTTCAACAAACATTCTGATCAGAAGGACATCTGAGAAAACTTCATGTGTCTTAATACATCAAGCTCTCAGATTTGGGATGCTCCTGAATTCACCACTGTATCTGGAACTCTAGGCTGTGGTAGCCGCATGTATGTTTGCAACATTTCAATCCTATCAAGCATGGAAATGGAAACCCATTCATATGTTGCTTTCAGGATTAAATACTGTAATATACAGTACTCTGCACCTGGTAATTGTAATAGCATTTGCTGGATACAAAACTTAGCATTTTGTCTTCTAATGGGAAGGAGACCATCTTGTCAATAGACTGATACTCTCAAGATCACAGCATTTCTGCTGACTCTAAGTTGAATTCAGATTTCTGGTTTTGACTTAAACTCTTACAACTTGGATTAAGTCTGTTTAAGAGACACTCTTCACAGTTTGCAAGATCAATAGAGAATGCCTTCTTAAATTTACAGTCTATATACATCACAGAATGGCAAAGACTGAGTTGCTCTCAACCTTTACCCCCCAAATGTTCTGAACTCCAACTCACAGAATTCCTGACTGTTGCCCATGTTGGCTGATGCTTCCGGGAGGTGAAGCTCAGAACATGTGGAGAGTTTGGGATTAAGAACTACAGAAATTCATAGCTGAGGAAGAATGAATCTCAGAGACTGTTTCAATGATGCTGTCTTCGTGCAATTCTTTCATATCTCGGCAAAGCTGAAGGGTTTTTAGAAGCAATAGAAAAATTATCATTTGATTTGGATTCATGCTGGATAACAGAGCCAAACTAATAAAGAAAGTAAGGAACTTTCCCACAGTTAACATGGCTAAGCATTCAATGTTAGTATCTCTCACAGTGTTTCTTTGATGAGTTTTTTTATTAGTGTTTTACATTTGGTGTTAAATTTTTCACTGGGTTTTATCTCAGCTGGGTTGTGCATTCTGCTGAGCAACCTTTTGTAATCCACCATCAGTCTTCTGCTGAAAGGCTTTTTGATCTAGTAAAGGCTTCCATCAAGAGGATGGAAAGGGAAGCAATTTCTTCCAAATCGCTATAGCTCTCCACAGCCTTCCAAATCTGCTCCAAGGGACTGGAGCTCCCTTCAAAATAGCTATGGAAATAACATGATTTAGTCGCTGGATAGAGGAGAAAACTGCAAAACTCATCTCCTTCCCTATTCCAAGATCTATGTGGAACAAACCTTCCAACTGGAAGATTGGGACATCAAGTAGAAACCATCCATGGGACTTAGACATACTTTAGTAAATACTATATGCATCGTTACTGTATAATTGGGTTTTTATGGTTGATTGTTTAGCATTTGGAACTTGGTACAATGATAATAAATCTTAAATCTTTGCTTTCTTGTGAAAATCTTTGATTATTTGAAATAGAACATCATCTCCGTCTTTTATCTCACAAACCATTACTCACATTTTTAATCTTGACACAACACCTAGTCGCACAAGAGCTGCTAAAGCATTTTTCTGCATATCTGAAGATAGGACCTCATAACATTGAGTGCTTCCTAAACAGGAGGAAGGGGAGCAATTAAAACAAATCCTTATACCAAAAAGCTCAATAAGTAAAATAAAGCACTATCCAAAGAATACACACCTGTCTCAAGAAGCTGAGAAACAAAGTTTCGGGTGCCAGACACAAATTGTTTCTCAGTAAAGGCCTCATTTGCTTCCTTAGAAAGATACTTGCAGATTAGCTATTAAAAACATTGATACATTTGTGTTACAAAGCAATCACCATTCTTTCATAAACCAATCTTTTTTTTCATAAAAGAAACTAAACAAAATAACTGAGTGAAGGAAAGCCTGCAATAAAACAACATTTGAGATGAGGGGGAAAGTTTGCAACATTTTTTAAAAAATTGAACTGACTTCCAAAGAGCTACTCAAAAGGTTGGATATTCCCAGTAGTATTTTAGATGACTTCTTTCTTTGGCAAATTTCCCCTACTATTTATTTGTTTGTTTGTTTTATTTAACTTATATGCCACCCACACTACACAGTCTACTTTTGAAATCCTCCTAAATTTTCAAAGCAGTATATGAAAAGGGGCTGGAGGGCTGTTTAAATAGTGCAAGACTTATTGAAGCATCAAGAAATTCAAAGGTGAAAAGTTAGTAATGATTAGAGGCAGGGGCTTCTTTCCTCAAACAATATAGATCTTATCCATTGTATTCTGACATCTCTCAGTAGTTTGTTTTATGTAAGAGGTGCTACTCAATTATATTTTAAATATCAACTCTATCATATTTTTGTTTTCCTTAACATAACTGTACTAAGCAGTTTTATCATCCTTGTACTACAGGGTTTGCTCCATTTGCAATTTTGATTGCAAGCCTTATTGTTGCTTTTACTGCTTAACTTGGGCTGTAATCTTGTTTTATAATTGATTTCAGATTTTTAAAGACATTTAAAAATGACTTTTTTAAATATAAGATAAAACATACTTCTAAAAAAATTAAAATAATTGCATAATCTCAGTACTGGTATCAACTGCCACAGATGTCACATAATACTTATTGGCATTTCCAAGAAAGGAGTCAAACAAAGACTGATGAAATGGAGTTTAGCAATGAGTTTTGTACCTGGTAGCCTTCCACAAAAGGTCTGAACATGGCCAACAGGAATGAGATGACAGCCATTCCTTTCTCAGTAACAAAGATTTGCTGAGGAGTAACTTGAACTGTGCCACATTTTGTAAGCAAAAAACAACCTTCTTCAAAATCCTGGGTATTAAAAAAAGGGTTATTATTATTACTATAATAATAAGTTTGGAAGGCACAATGCCTGGCAGACAACACTGTGCCAAGTGATACTTCTACCTTACAAGATATCCCTAATATATCTTAGAAGGATCCTTAATACTAATGTTCTCCTCTTCAAATGTTACTTCAGTAACTGGGAAAGAAAAGGTTGGGATTTTGTTTATTGTTCCAAAAAAGTACAGACAGTTCTAATGCTGTGATCACTGCCTCCTTTGTGATATGAAAACAGTAATCTAATCCATGATAAGTGACACTCTGACTGTACCCACTTGAGGCTGAGTAGTATAGTAAAACACATTTACACAATTCCAAATCAAAACCTGCTTTTCCAGATTTGGTACCTAAGACCTATGTGCCTTGACTAACATAATACTATTTATCTGAGAACATGTGTTTATTGTATTTAATTTTCCATTACTATCTCACCTCTGCTAGGGTGAACATTTTTCATATCAGAAATACAGGAGTTTCAGTTTCACAATATACTTTCAGTTTGCCCGAACTCCATCCTTATTTTCAAAATAAATTATGTGTTATATGCATATGTGTTATCAGTTACTTAGGCCTCAGGCATTTGTCACTGGGCTGGCAGAAACAGATCCTCCTGTTCCTGTTCCATGTGGCAGGCCCCCTACCCCTTGGAAATGCAGAATTTGAGAAGATTCGCCATATTGGGAGTAAGCTGCAGCACTGAAAGATACAAGAACATTTTGGAGAGCGGAACTCTGCCAAGGGGAGGAAGGGACAGGGGAACTGTTTTCACCACTGTAGTTATAGGTGCAGAAATCTGCAGTAAAGCTAATAAAATCAAGACACCTTGAAAGCTAACACATGGATTGTGAGGCAGATGCTTCAAGAGATGCATGAAGCATTTTAAGAGAAAGATATTGGAAAATTAGCCCAAAGGCTTTGCAAGATAAAGGTGTGTCATGCCATGCAGTGTGCAAATCCAGTGCAAAGACTGAAAGATTTTTTCAGAAGTGGTATGGTTCTGCTTCTACATTGTAATGAACTGGCGAAGCGATTTGCATGGTGAAAAGAATATCAGGGACAAATAATTTCTGTAATCAATAACCATGCTCCCCATGATTTAAACTGTTTTTTCTTCTTTTCAGTTTAAATCACAATTTAAATTAATTCAATCTGCTTGGCAGCAACCACCACCACAATCCAGATGGTTGTATCCTTGGAGATTTTCAGCCCTAGGATTAGTTCTACTACAGCAACTCTTCAAGCCAGCAACAGATGCTTACACTCTATTTATATAGTTTCTCTGAGGTGAGGAATTTCTACATTTTCAGTTACCCCACATGACAGTTTTTTCGCTAGACATTGTTTTTTTGCGATTGCTATAGCAATTCTCAAAACAGTGATTCCTATGGGGGAATTTCGTTGGACAATGTTTGGTCCCTGCTTCGCAAACCAATTTTCACTAGATGACAATTTTGACAGCTCCCTCCGCGCTCGCAAACAGGTGTTTTTGGGACCTAAGCTTCGCAAGACAGTGATTTAAACAGCTGATCGGCGGTTCACAAAGAGGCTTTCCTATGGCTGATTTTCACTAGACAACGACGATTCTTCCCCATTGGAACGCATTAAACAGTTTTCAATGCATTCCAATGGGGAAATGCTTTTCGCTAGACAATGATTTCGCTAAACAGAGATTTCAGTGGAACGGATTATCATCGTCTAGCGAGGCACCACAGTGACCAAATACTGTACTTCCAAATGACTTTGAATGTGGTAGCAAAGCAAGAAGTGCACTTTAAGGCCTGCACTTTGAAGAAGCAGAGGAGCTAAAATACTTCAGTATGTTCAAGCCAAACATTTTTCCTAGGCTTATACAAGAGCAATCAGATTCACAGAGTAGCTTATGTAACTACAGAAGTATTAGGAATAGCACAACTGGAACATATATCAGAGATTTATGAGATGTTATAAGACCGTGTTGATGGCAATAAGTGAGTTATTGCAGGGTTTTTTAATATGTGGAGAGTGTCATGTAATGATTACTCACTATTGCATCACTGAAAAACAAAAACATCAAAAGTCTCCAAAAAACCCAACTAAAAACAATCTAAAAGGAAGCATTCCCAAGGCAATTTTCTTCATTTGCACTGTACACAATCCTGGCACCAGTTCAGTTAGCAAGAAATTCCTATTGACACCCAGAAATGAAGACTCCACAGAGAACCTTACCTTCAGGGGTATTCCAGGAAAGAAGATAAACTCATCAGAAAAAACATCACGCCAGAAAGTAAAATTGCTATAAACTTCCTCTGGAAAACAAATATTAACCACCTGTGAACATGTCCTTTCCTCAAATCACTTTGATACTGAAGGATAAATATAACCAATGCCTTGCAATGCATGGTCTTAGCACAATGTCTACCTTCTTCCCATCCACCCTTAACTCAGTCTTACATGCCCCAGACCAGTTGCAGAAGATTCCCAGGATTTGGGGGGCTGCACAGAAATAATCCTCTTTTTTTTTCTTTTTTTCTTTTTTGCTGATAGGAGAAATTCCATCCATCAATTATCCCACCAGATCCAGGCCAAAGTCTCCAAGATGCTCTCCTTTATTTTTTGGGGGAGCCAATACATTTGAGTTTGTAAGGAAAATAGAAGATATATACATTCATGCTTGAGTCATCTGGCAATGGGAAGATGTGATCTGTAAAAAGCTTCTCCTGCATAAGTCTACTGATATGAAATGGAATTGCACAAAAGCAGAAAGCTTGCTGACGGACTGTGGTTAACCGCAAGAAAAAAATGCCACAAAATATTAGTATGTATACCACCAGCTATTGCAGAACCGCTCTTTGTCAAACACAAGCTGGCCTCCTATTCACTGCTGCACACAAGTAATTCCTGAATGAAAAGAGGCTCACAAATTAGTTTGGTCACTGGAAGAGAATTTACTGAGCACCAAGAGCCATTTGGAATTATTGTTATGAACTGCAAGCTGATGCAAGCTGTTTATTTTATTTATAGTAAATTAGCTTGCACACCTGCTGGTTGCTAGGTCATGGTGAACTAGCATCCTGGGCATATTTATCTTGATGCCATTGTCAATTTGCAGCCATTGGGAGCCTTTCAAGTAGCCTCATATTCTAAAAAGAAAAAAATGGAGTACATTTTTTTAAAAAACCCTGAAAATTGTACCTTCAGAGATCTGCATGGGTATGATTATTCTATTAAATACTGTCAAACCCCACATCACATTTTAGGCCCCAACGTTGTAGACCCAAATCACATTTCTGAAAAACTATAAAAATTATCTAGTCTTGTTTTGATCATATCAGGTGGGTTCTGCCTGTGAGGTCAGGCAGAATGGGACTGGGAGCCAGCTCCTGGATCTCCCTGCAGTTGCTCTATTTTGCATTAATAGAAAATTTGGACTAAGGGATGGGGAAAAGCCACAAGATCCTGCTTACTGAGGAAATGAGCTAACTGAACAACCTGAATAAACAGAATAAACTGATGGTTTAATTTTAGTTTTTTAAATTATTTCAGATTTGGTATCTAAAGGATGAATTTACCTTTTCTGGAAGAGTGTGTCATTTGCAATGCAAGTGCAACAAAGGCTGGCCGCACAAAGACATTCAGCAACTGGTTCCTGTAGCACCCACACAGGAGAATAGAGAGAGCTTTTTTAAATACAGGTTCCTCTGGTACACTGGATTCCATTCCTTGGTCACTGAGTACCACTTGACCATTAACAATACTTGCAACATTGGAGTGGAGAGCCAAGGCAGATCTTACTGCTTTGTGGGCACACAGATTATCTAAGGGGAGAAAAAAATATGGTGACCAAATGCATCTAGAAAGTCTCATTTTGTTTTTATGTTTTGTAATGTGGATACCAATGAAAAAGAGCCTGGCAGGACTGCTGAACTGCTTTGATTAGTGATGGGCAAAACTTGCTTATTTATATTCAGTCAATGACAACGTTCAGAGAAGTTCCTTTCTTGGACTAAAACTTTTAAGAATCCTCCAAACCAGCAAATCCATGGAACTTCATGTAAAACCACATACAAGTATGTTAAGAATCCCAGTCCCGCATTCTCTAAAGTTTCATTATTATTGCAGTGTTTGTGATCCTTATCTTGTTTAAATTAAGGAAAGATTTATAGCAGGTCTTGTTCTTTTTCATGATGATATCCATGTGTGCAAATGAATGCAAAGATTCTTGAACTAGAGCCAGGGAAGTTCATTAAAAGACTACAAGCCCTTTTAAAAAAGAGAGAGACAAGAATCATTCTTTTTTTTTGCCATGACGATCATCTTGATATCAGTCTTTTTTTTTCTCAGTGACTGAAATCCTGTTGCAAAATTCCATGGGTACAAGGTGAAGCTACAACAAAGGCGGCAATGATCATGGCAGTGCAGAAGTGCTATTCATGAACCTCTTCTGCATGCATGCTGTAAAATAGTCACACTGAGAGCCACACAATCAACTGCAGAATCCAACTGCATACATTAGGTTGTCTGGACATAACGCCAGACAAGCTTCCACCAGCATAATTTTACGGTATATTAGAAAGAACAGGATTTCAGACAATGTTTCAGAATGATTATAATCATATTTTACATCCCATGGGAATGTTCCTATATTCTTTTTATAGAATCGGAAGGATTCTAGGCCTCTCAAATGAAACTGATAGCAGCACTTCTAGCTTTTCACTATCTCAAATGCAAAGAAAAGCAGTAGATGTACTATGATCATTACATACCAGGCCAATCAAGGAATCCTCCAAATGCTTGAGTTAAACCTTTGAGCCAAACTGTCTTTTCCACCAGATGGAATCCAAGCATTTAGAACCGTTTTTGACCCTTCTAAGACACTTTTTAAATTGGAAAAAGAAACATCGTTAAGTGAAGCAGGGGACCTAAAATCGCATTCGTTATGCGAAGCATGGTCCCAAACTTCGTTAAGCGAAAATCGCCCATAGGAAACATCGTTATACGGTGCATATTATTTTCTAAAAAAACACATCATTACGCGAATTCATCGCTAAACGAGGCAATCATTAAGCGAGCCACCACTGTACAACCATGTTAAAAATCCCAGTCCCGCATTCTCTAAACTTTTATTATTATCGCAGTGTTTGTGATCCTTATCTTGTTGTCCATGGAACTTCATGTAAAACCACATACAAGTATGTTAAGAATCCCAGTCCCGCATTCTCTAAAGTTTCATTATTATTGCAGTGTTTGTGATCCTTATCTTGTTTAAATTAAGGAAAGATTTATAGCAGGTCTTGTTCTTTTTCATGATGATATCCATGTGTGCAAATGAATGCAAAGATTCTTGAACTAGAGCCAGGGAAGTTCATTAAAAGACTACAAGCCCTTTTAAAAAAGAGAGAGACAAGAATCATTCTTTTTTTTTGCCATGACGATCATCTTGATATCAGTCTTTTTTTTTCTCAGTGACTGAAATCCTGTTGCAAAATTCCATGGGTACAAGGTGAAGCTACAACAAAGGCGGCAATGATCATGGCAGTGCAGAAGTGCTATTCATGAACCTCTTCTGCATGCATGCTGTAAAATAGTCACACTGAGAGCCACACAATCAACTGCAGAATCCAACTGCATACATTAGGTTGTCTGGACATAACGCCAGACAAGCTTCCACCGGCATAATTTTACGGTATATTAGAAAGAACAGGATTTCAGACAATGTTTCAGAATGATTATAATCATATTTTACATCCCATGGGAATGTTCCTATATTCTTTTTATAGAATCGGAAGGATTCTAGGCCTCTCAAATGAAACTGATAGCAGCACTTCTAGCTTTTCACTATCTCAAATGCAAAGAAAAGCAGTAGATGTACTATGATCATTACATACCAGGCCAATCAAGGAATCCTCCAAATGCTTGAGTTAAACCTTTGAGCCAAACTGTCTTTTCCACCAGATGCTCAAAATCAATGGCTGGTAAATTTTGGAGCAGCACAACAGCCACTAATATCCATGGGCTTAAAACCATATTTTCTATTTGAAGGAGCTCAATTTTGAAGGCTGTATCACTGACAAATTCCTGGATTTCCTCAGATGGCTTTTGAGGAATATGCCTAAAAAGAAAAGAGGAGTATGCAGATTCATTCAAAGTGAGCTTCCTGCATCCTATTGTAGGTATGATTTGATCCCCTAGCTCCAAAGAAGGACTCCCCCCTCCCATTTCCTTTGGGTAGAGGATATTTCAGCCATTCCAGAGCAACTATCTCCTTAAAAAAAACTAACATTAGTCATATGGTGATATTAAACAGAGCACAGCTTCAAATTGATTTCACTTTTGGTTGCTTGGGCAAAGGTTTCAAAATTCAAGCATTTAATTATGCTAATAATCAGAGACTGACCCATCCCCTTGATCATCTGGGGCAGAAGGAGTCGACACCCTTATATCCACCTTGCCTATGGGAATGAAAGACCTAACTATAAGAGGAGGAGTGACTGAAGCACAGGGAAAGGAAAAGGTGGGAAAAGGAGGGGAGGTGACCAAAGATTTCTTGATGACAGATGAGGAGGAGGAAAAGAGAAAGAGAAGCTGGGGTTCAGAAGAGTGGATTAGTCCTGAGTGGGAGATAAAAAGAGGAAAGGAGTAAAAAGAAAGGAGAAAAGGAAGAACCTTATGTGTTTAATGTTCCGGGAAGAGAGGAAGTGAGAAGAGAGAGAGGCTAGGGATATATGCGAGGACAAGGAGGTCCGGGTCTAGAAATCCAATTAGGAGAACTGGATCCTTGGAATGGATCGTATATGTATACCCACAGGGGAAAGGTCCCTGGAGGAAGGTAGTCCGGCCAGATCCTATTTCACTGGCTCAGACACCTCGTGAGGGGGATTGAGCCCGTCCCCCATGTTGTGGAACCATCTGCGCAGTGAGGAGCAACCCTATGAGAAAGCCGACGGACAGGGAGAGATTTGGAGCATCTCCGTGTTAAGAGACAGCAAAATAGTTCATGAACTTCTTATGTTGTGGACTGAATCTTCGTTAGCAGCTGGTCCTGCTGGACCCACAGAAGTTATTGCTGATTCCCCTTCCCACTTCGAAAGTAAATGTTTGGTTGAAAAATGACATCTCCTGTGATTAATTCCGCCAAGAAAGAGGAAGTGCTTAGTTTTATACCTGAACCCAATCACACAGATGTTTTGATAAATGTAGATCAATACAGAAAACAGAACACGGTTGTGTAAGGAATAAACACATGCAAAATTCGCACAGACCAAAATTAGCCTGATCTGCCCACTGCCATTCCTTCTTTTACATGTAGCTTTCAGGACCACCTCAGATACTGGAGGAAAGCAGACTGAGGGGGTTATTGCTCTTTAGTCTTGAGACATGTTTTAGATTTTGGTTTTTAAACACACAATTATGTTTCACAATGAATTTGCAGGTTTTTCATGCTGCTTTTTACCTGACAAGAAGCAGCATGATGATTCTGATGAACTACATACTTCAGTGTGTCTTCAGGTGTATGGTTCCCTACCATACCCTGCCTTGGTACTCTGGCTAGCGCATTTTGTTTCAGGTTGTCACTTCATAAGTGTCCCAAGCAGGTGCCATCATTCGCAAGGGCACACCCTCATCCCAACCAGATCCTCATTTATAATTCAAGTCTGCGTGACTTCCCCCTACTACACCACTGCAGCCTTGTCTCTACCGTACTGTAGCTAAATCCTGTTTAATTTGAGTACATTCATACACCTACAGGACAAGACGGACATGGACTGCACATCAAGACAAATACTGGTCATATAATTCAACTCCCCAGTGGCCTTATGATATGGTAGATATGTCTGATTCACTGTATGCCTCTCTCGATACTACAGTGGCATGACAAAAAGGTAGGATGAATTATCATGAATTATTACAACAACCACCCATCAACCCAGCATAAGCATAAAGATGTGACATGGTATATGATATAGAGGGAATGATGAGGCTCTGACAACTGTACACAGACACTGCAAAAGCATGCAGCAAGCAGCAAGCAGTAAGACCACAGGATGAGGAGAAAAAAGTAAGACTGATGTGGGAGGGACATGCAAGAAATTGTGGTAAGAAGTGTAAGGAAAAGACATCAGCCTAGGGTGGGAAGCAGTGTGAGGGTGTGATCACATGGGGGACTACATCACATTTGGGACTGCTTACGGAGAGGTCCTATGCAATCTGTTTCCTGGTGATCACATGATGATCCCAATCTGTAGGGCTACTAACTTTTAGGAGCCATGCTGGAGTGATTCCTCAACAGATTGAAGGGTCACTAAGGGAGATTGCTCCATGCAAAGTGACCCTTTCTGCTGTTTTCAAAGATGCACCTTTTCTGCTATCTGATTGCAGCCTTAGACTGACCTGTGTCTGTTTTACCTCACTGTTCTGACAGATTCCCAACATTCTAAAGATCTGGAGGGGGGTGTCTGGAGAAGGAGAAGGAAATCAGTGAAAAAATATGTCTAGCCACCCAAATGATCCAGTTTACCTAGTTGTAGATCCACCACAGTTATGTCCAGTTGCTGTGTTTCTGCATATATCTTATTTGTAAATAAATGTCTATCTTGTGTCTCATTTGCAGAACACAGCTTTAATCAAAGCACCTGGAGCTCCACAGGCTGCATTTATGTGGCTCATACTGTGACACTACATATGCCAAATGTAATACGGTCTAGCATGACAGAAAAATGGCATGTCTTCTGAACAGAAGCAATCCCTTAGGCCAGTGGTTCCCAGCCTTGGGTAACACAGGTATTCTTGGATTGCAACTCCCAGAAACCCTGATAGCACAGCTGGTGCTGAAGATCTCTGGAATCTGCAGTCCAAGAACACCTGGATTACCCAAAATTGAGAACCACTGCCCTAGGGGACTATATCAGGCACATCAGATACAATTGTGTGTTTCTTACACTGTAAATTGGGACCTGGAAAATTTACTTTATTGGGCTACAACTCCTAGAATCATCAGGACATTCAGTATAGTCTAAAAAGTACCACTTCAAAGTTCTGTTGTAAATCTATTGTCTGGAAACTAGCAGGGAAATCAAAAAGGAATCCACCAGGGATCAGTCAAACATGGATTCTTGCATTGGCATGTGGTTGGATGAGATGACACTTGGGACACCTTCAAACTCTACAGTTCTGTCATTCACCATCTGCAACCATCAATGAAGTCTTAAGAGTTTCCTGTTCAAGATCACCCTCAGGAACAACTGTACAAACTATTACCTTCATATGTCATAACTGAAAAATAAAGTTCAGCTTCAGTTGTCAGCACTTGCACCTCCGAAACTAATGAACCAATTTAAGAATATTTTAGTTTGAGATCAATACATCCATAATATGCACTCATAATAGATTTGGCTGACTCTAGAACACCCTTTGACACTGAGGCTTGGCCACGGTTAGAGATCACAGAAGAGGATAATTAATTATTAGACAGACTAACCTAACACAATGAAATTTTTCTTAGTACATTTGATATAAAATCAAATCATTCAGGTATTCAGTGAATTTAGAATATGATGAAAATTCAAATTTTGCTCATAGACCATTATAAAAAGGCATACACTGTAATACCTTGGAATCAGATTGAATGGACATCTATTGATTCTCCCAGATGCCAATGTTCTGAGCGATAAAGGCTGACCAAAATACAAGTGAATGCTTCCAAAATCTTCACTCAGAATTTTCCTGGCTTTTAAGAG